GAAACAGAGAAGAACTGTGGAATGTAGTCCAATCATCCTGGGCTGGAATACCTGTTCACAGGTGCCAGAAGTTGGTTGACTCCATGCAACACAGATGTACAGCAGTTCTCAGAAACAGTGCTTATACAACTAAATATTCATTAAGTGATTCAAAGGAAAGCAAAATATTCAAACATTTTTCAGTTTATATAGTGAATGTTTGAGTTTGTAAAGAAGAATACAAAAACTGCTATTTTTTTGAACAGTCTAATATTCACTTTTCTTCAATTTTTTTAGAGGAACAACACAAATTTGATATATTTTTCATCATGTTTTGATTTGGAATAGAATGTGTAGTGTTCCCAATGCATTTGTGTGTATGGAAATAAAAGCTATTAGAAGGATTTTGAGCTTTATTCACTTTTTTCCACACACTGCTATTATTTTGAACACAACTGTAGCTAAAATAAAAAACAAATCAGTACAAGGGACATAGCTTACAGTCAATAGGATGGGTCCCTTGTGCTGATTCTTCTGTTAGTAGAAATCCTCCTCTGTCTACCCCCCACATATATTCAGGTGTGCATGGGGGTTAATACAACTAAAGCCCCATAGACACTGTCACGTGTGCCGCCTGCTCCCTTCCCCCCCCCTTGCCGCACACAGCCTTGAAGCAGGCTGTGCGGGATGAGGGGACCGCTGTGGCAAGGGTCACAGCTCCCCCCGGCAATTCAGCCGGAAGAGCTGTGACCCCACCCCCACCAGGAAATCCCGGTGGGGGGCCACTGGGTGGTGTCTGCGTGCCCCCAGCGGGCACAGGGCTTCCCACGCTCAGCGCCCCGCAGGAGACAAAGGCCGCGCTCCCTGCGCGTGGCTGGAGTGAGGGGGCAACCCAGAAGCGCCCCACGCGGCTTTTAAAAGGCCAGCGCGAGACCAGGCTCGCTCTCTCCCTTCCTCCTGTGCTGTCCGGTCGCTCTCCCTCGCCCGCCGCCACCGCTGTCATGGGAGGTCCAGGTGGGAACCGGGCCAACCCCGCTGCCGCTGAGCGCTCTGCATGAGCCCCCCTCCTCAAAGGTCAGACCCCACAGCCATGACTCCCGCTGCTGTTCCTGGCAAGCTGGCCGCTGCGAGGGCCCCTGCCTGCTGATCGCTGGGCCCCTGGAGAAGCTGGCTGCTGTGAGGGCCCCTGCCTGCTGATCGCTGGGCCCCTGGAGAAGCTGGCCGCGGTGAGGGCCCCTGCCTGCTAATCGCTGCTGTTCCCTGAAACGCTGGCCGGTGTGAGGCCCGCCGTCCGTTGCTGAGGGTCCCTGGGAAGCCGCCCTGTCTACGGATTGCTGGGTCCCTGGAAGCTGCCTGCTGCTGAGCGTCCGCAAGTCGCCTACCTCCCTGGAAGCCGCCTGCTGCTGAGCATCTGCAGGACGCCTTTCGTGAGTGTCCCTAGCAGCCATGAACTGCCTCTAGAGTGCGCACAGACCACCCGTGTCATGAACTGTCCCTGTTGCGTGCACAGACCACCCATGTCCTGAATTGTCCCTGTTGTGCGCATAGACCACCTGTGTCATGAACTGTCCCTATTGTGCGCACAGACCACCCGTGTCCTGAGCTGCCCCTATTGCACGCCCAGACTACCCTTACTCGAACTGCCCCATGGCATGTCCCAGAGTATAGCTACCTGGGATGCCTCTGAGTGCTTGAGCCATCGCTACCTGCTGAGTCCCCGTGAGCCTGATGTCCCTAGAAATCTGGGTGGGAGCTGTGCTGAGGTCAGCCCCCTAGTCAAGGTCCTGCTGAGTCCCCGTGAGCCCGATGTCCTTAGAAAGCTGGGTGGGAGCTGTACTGAGGTCAGCCCCCCCCCCCCCCCCTAGTCAATGTCCTGCTGAGTCCCCGTGAGCCTGATGTCCCTAGAAAGCTGGGTGGGAGCTGTGCTGAGGTCAGCCCCCCCCCCCCCAGTCAAGGTCCTGCTGAGTCCCTGTGAGCCTGATGTTGTCCCTAGTAGTCCCTGCTGTGTCCCTAGTACGCTGTGTGGGAGCTGTGTTGAGGCCAGACTCCACGGCCAAAGTCCCGTTGAATCCCCGTGAGCCTGATGTCGTCCCTAGTATGCTGTGTGGGAGCTGTGTTGAGACCAGATTCCGCAGCCAAAGTCCCGTTGAGTCCCGGTGAGCCTGATGTTGTCCCTAGAAAGCTGTGTGGGGGTTGTGCTGAGGTCAGACCCCATCGCCAAGGTCCTGTTGATTCCCCGTGAGCCCGCTACAAGCCGCATGTCGTGGAGTGCCATGAACCGTCCTGATTGAGTGTCTTTCATAGTTCAATAAAGCTTTGTGTGTTCCCCATCTTCTTTGTGTGTTCTGTCCTGCCTACGCGTCCATCACAAACACAATCAGAAAATTGTACAAAAAAGGCCTATTTCTTTCAAAGCGATCATAGAATAATCTGATTGTTAGTAGACAGCAATCGTCTGAAATTACTCGAAGGGACAAGCAAGCATTTTGTAGTATGATGCCAGGTCGTACAATTTTCATTTAACCAGTGCCGTTTTCATCCAAAAATACAATACAAATACATTACATCACTTCCAAATTTTTATGCTGTCATGCAAGAATTTTTGTAACTTTAGTAACCTCTTCCATTTTGATATGTGACTAGCATGCAAAAAGAAAAAAAAAAAAAAGGACAATCATTCGTCTACAGGGCTTTAGGGACTCTCTCATCAAGGAAGCCTGATTATGTTCGCCCTTTCTACCCAGCTGCTCCATTCATAGAAGCCATACTACAGCTTCTATGAATAAAACCTGATCTATGAATGGAGGAGGCGCACCAATAAATCATCTGCCCCCACCCCTTCATTCATAGATCACGTTTTATTCATAGAAGTTGTAGTATGTCTTCTATGAATGAAGCAAAACGGCATAAAGGGCGAGCATAGTCGAGTCCTGATGAGAGCCTGCAACAGCCCTAGTTCTATTAACCCTTCCCACACTGGAAGATTACAAAATCAAAGTGGGGTGTGTGTATGTGTTCCTTAAAATAATCCTAATTACCATAAAAAAAGTCCTCAGATTCATAAAAAAGTTATATCACTCATTTTTCCTTCAATATATCCAGTCCATAGATTATCATCATATTAGTTTGTGCCATAAATTCATTAATATATTGCTGGAAATGTGATAATTATGAATTTAATATATCAAAGTATATGTATATAACCAAAAGCAGCCTAATGTAGGTGGGGCTCAGATCACTTTTTATACAGCCATCAGCATAAGGCCGACTTCACACCACCACATTGTCGCAACACACTTTTACTTTTCCAACCTGTCCATACATGGATCAAAATCCCTGCTGAATCGTCTGAATTTTACTCCATGTATGGCTGGCTTTATAGTTGTAGAACCTTTAGTTCTGTTGAATGTTTTCTCAGACCATGATTAGTTCCACAACCAAGTGAAGAGTGATGTTCTCTTAAGGATCCAGAAGATAAAGTAAAAACCCAGCCTCACACAAATAAAAAAGTGAGAGAAATATACGTTAAAATTTTTTTTTATATATATATATATATATATATATATATATATACGGTATATATACAGCGCTTGAAATTTCCACTTGCCCGCTCGCATCGGGCAAGTGGAAATAAGGTGGGGGTGAGCAGCGCCGGGACTAGAGGTGTGTGTGTGGGAGGGGCAGCGGTGGGGGCAGTAATCTGTATGTCTTTCAATGAAGCAGCTAAAAGGAAGAGGAGAAGCAGCTTCATAGAAAGACATAGAAGAATCACTGCCCCCACTTCTGCACCGTTCATCCCTGAACGTTCCGTTTCTTTCTTGGCCCCCTCCCCGCTTTGTGCTCCTCAGTGCCCAGCCTCTCCCCATATCCTCTACCCTCTTCTGCCTCCCCCTGTGCAAATTGAACACAGAGCAGCCGACAGCTCTGATGCATCTGACTGAGCATTTGAGTCTGACCTTCCTTCCACCCACCCCTCCCTTTCTTCACCCACCCCCCTTTCACCCACCCCTTTCTTCCTTTCACCCACCCCTCGCTTTCTTCCTTCCACTCCCCCTTTTCTTCCCTTCCTTCCACTCCCCCTTTCTTCCCTCCCTTTCTTCCTTCCACCCACCCCTCCTTCTATTCCTCCAATCCTTCCACCCATCCCCCCCTCCCCTCCATTCCTTCCCTTCCACCCTCACTTCCTTCCCTTCCTCCCTTCCATTTCCTTTCTTCCTTCATTCTGCATAAAACATTTAACAGTACCATCTCATGAGTTAATTTACAAGGGCATGTTTAGAGGTGGAATTAAGGGCAGGGTAGGGTAGGATGGGACAACTGGTGACAAGTAACTCTTAAGTCCTGGCTAGTAGCTCAGGACTTGAAATTGTGAAGTGTGTGTGTATGTGTATGTATATATATATATTATATATATATATATATATATTTATAATTTATTTATTGGATAGCTGGGCACAAAATATAGGACACAATTTATATATATATATATTATATAATATGTCCGTATATTTATTTATTGGACAGCTGGGCACAAAATATAAGACACAATTTTAATATTTATAATATGTCCGTCCTTCCAACCACCCAATCCCTTCACCCAATCCTTCCACCCACCCCCTCCCTCCTCTCCGATCCTTCCACCCATCTCCTCCCTCCTTTCCCTCCGATCCTTCTGCCCTCCCTTCCTTCCTTCCATTTCATTTCTTCCCTTCCTTCATTCTGCATAAAACATTTAACAGTGCCATTTCATGAGATAATTTAGAAGGGCGTGTTTAGGGGCGGAATTAAAGGCGGGGCAGGGTGGGGCAACTGGTGGTGAGTAACTCTTAAGTCCTGGATAGTAGCTCAACCTTGAAATTTTGATCTGTGTGTGTATGTATGTATGTATGTATATGTGTTTGTGTACATATATTTATTGGACAGCTGAGCACAAAATATGAGACACAATAACTTTATTATTTATAATATGTACACATTTTTAAAACCCATCTGTAGGCTAAAACTACTGTTACAAAGTGGTTTTAAGCTGTTGACTGCTCCAGTGATGTTTTTGAAGTGGTCAAAATGGCCTTCGGAAGGCTTTCTCTAGCTAGCTGCATTCGTCGTCGTGCTCTCTGGAAAGCATCTATAAAAAGAAAAAAAAAAAGAATTATCGTTGGTTTTCAGGTAGAAATACAGAAAAAAAAATTTAGAGCGGAATTCCAGGAATTGAATCCACTGCATAGGTACATTGACCCCATCAGTGATTAACACTGTCTTACAAGCCCCATGCGCAGTGGCTGCCCTTACTTGCTTGGCATGGGAACATTCACAGAACACCTTGCATTTTTCTCAATTAATGCAATGCATTCTTTTGTTGGATTGAGGTGCAGAGGGGAAGTGGCGATGTCTCGATTTTCACCTTATTCAATCAGAGAACACTTTGCATTCACTGAGAACAATGCAAAGCATTTTGAGAGGGGCGTCTGTGCTGAGTGAGTGACCTCCTGTGGTTGTTATGCTGCAGGACAGCCACTTGGCACGAGACCCATATGCTAGTAATGATCACTCTAGTAGTGGAAGCTACTAGAGTGATTCTCTGCTTCGGCAGTAGTCCCAGAGGTTTGGTATATGCATACACACATTTGTTCAAGCTGGATCCATGTAACTATGCAAGAAAATGCATACTTGGAATTCAGCTTAAAAAAATTGTATTTACCTATATACTACTTAATAGGCTTCAATATGTATTTATATTATATGGATGAAACACTGAATATTCATATCAAAAATAAAAAACAAAACTAGATTTTTGGTTTAGTTTTTGTAGCAAGCCCATAAACCACAAAAGCAGACGGATTGGATCCCTGTGTCCTGTGATGTAAAGGATTTACAGGTAAACCAAAAATCCCATTTACTTTGTTGTGCATCTTTATCACCTTTGTTAGGGAAAAACCAGAAAAGGTTAGAAACCTCACACAGCATCCTGCAAAACTGGCCGACCAAAACTGGTGTCCTCAGCCACTCAAATATCCACTTGGTGGAGGCACTGACACTCCTGGTAAAATGAGCCATCACTGAACATGGGAAAAACTTTTCCCTTTAGACCATAAGCTTTAAACATAAGCCAACAGATCCATCGAAAAATGGTAGATATGAAAAGCTGCATGGTCCTACCTTGGGCCCTCAGGAAGCACACAGAGGGCAACAGAATGACGAATTGCAGTAATAGACGTCAGCTAATACCAGATAGCACAAACTACATCAAAGGTGTTAGAAGTCTTATCCCCTGATATCTGAGGCTTAGGACAAAAAGAAAAGAAAAATGCAATGTCCTGGTTGAGATGGAACAAGAAACCACCTATGGCAATAAAACCACTTTATCATGATGAAACATCAGAAATGACTCTTTACAGGAAAGAGCAGCCAATTCTGAAACTCTGTGAGCTGAAATAATGGCAACCAAAAAGATAACCTTTCGATGCAGAAGGCTTAAGGAATGTCCCAGATAGGATCAAAGGGAGATTTCTGCAATACAGACAGTACCATGCTGATGTCCCACAGTCAACAGAGTTTTAACCAGAGGAATAATAAGTTTGACATCTTATTCAAAAGATACAAAATATGCCTGCCAATTTTCCATGCCTGGAATGTGGGTTGCAGACAGACAATGCGGGAACATGGAGTTATGACCAAGACCGTAAGAGGTCAAATTCCTCCTAGGTCACCCAGCCTGTTACCTTTTTGATGATTTCTGTATGCCACCACCATGGAATTGTCCAACTGAACCCTTGAAGGGAGGTCCTGAAGCTACACTGATCAATGTAATGGGGCAAGGTGAATTGTCCTCAATTGCAGGGTACTGATGAGCAACAACTTCTTCTGCGGTGACCAAGCCTTGTGGACCAAGAGATTATTCAGAACATAACCCTAGCCCAGCAGGGTCTCATCTGCTGTCTGATCCCCCAAATACATGAAGAAATTATTTTTATATGTCCAGCATCTGTGAGAAGATCCACCAGTTCAGATAGTGCTGAGGAGTAATGACATCAGGGATTCCAACGTCTGTGTCCTCCTTTCCTATGCTATTAAACATTCTGTTGGCGGGGCCTTGAATGAAATTGGGAATGAACAGTGCCTCAAGGAGACTACCTTCTTACCTAGAACCTCATGCAAAGGTGAACACCTTTATGAGCAAGACCACTCAAAGCAAGACACTTGTCCGAAGAAAGGATCACTCTCACCTGGACAGTATCCAGGGTCAAACCCAAATTCTCCAACATTTAAGTTGGGATTAAGGCCAACTTCTGTAAATTCAGAACCCATCTAAACTTCTCCAGAGTGTGCACCATATGAGACACATTAGTCTCAAGAAGAAAAGTGGATTGCTCCCTTAGAAGTAGGTTGTCTGGGTAACCTACATACAGAAATACCCAGGGGACGCAGCAGTCCCAGAACTAAAGCCAGGTCAAACACTCAGAGCAGTGGACATCAAACAGCAGTCACAAACTGAAAGTGGCAATCCTCCACCACAAACCGCAGAAAGAAAGATCAGAAGGTGTAGATAAGCATCCATGATATCCACTGATGCCAGGAAAATCTCCCTGCTGGAGAGATATCACTGCACACATAGAAAATTATTGAGTCTTATGAGGTCCAAGATGGGATGAACATATAAACATAGTCATTTAGTTTCAGAACCATAAAAGGTTTGAGAAAAAACTGCAATACCTCTCACCCTCTAAACAGGAATTATCACTTTTTGATATAGATATCGAACTTGCAAAAAGAGCTAATTTTTTTTTTGTGGATTCAAAGAAACATTTGAAAGCATGAAACGCATGAAGGGGAAGGTTCTAAAATTCCAGCTTGCAGCCACGAGCTACCATTTTGCAGATCCACATGTCTGCAATCTCCCCCAGCCAAACCTCAGTGAAGCCCTGCAAATATCTCACAAACGAAGGGAGAAGGAGAACTCCTGCATCATGAAAAGGACTTGTCCCCCAGATTAGAGGGTTTGTAAGGAACTAGGATTGCCTGACCAGCAAAAGGAACGTGTCTTAAGAAGTAGAAGGAGCAGTAGGCTTTTGAAACTTAGGCTTGACCTTTTTAAGTGGTAACAGAACCCTTATCCACAGTCACCTTCTGAATGTAATAATCAAATATGGACCAAATAAACAAACATTCTCCTTGGAAATATAAACTTCCACATGCTTTTTGCAGAGTAATTCCACTAACCAACACTTCATTAAGGATTGATTAACTTTAAAGTAGTCAGAACTATTTCCATGAGAAAACTCACAAAGGACTTTTTAGGTTTGAGTTAAACCTTGACCCTGGGGTTCTTTCAGAAGTAGATTCCATGCATGTGGATTATTTTTTTGTTCCCTTTGCCTCCTGCATTTTTGGCACCCAGAGCCTCTCGGACCGCCCCTAAACACAGCTATTCCTATGTGACCCTCAGGGTGGCCATTACAGTGAAAGTACATAACACAAGATGTGTAAAAGGTGTAAAGACCACAATGAACATTTTTACTCCTTTCTGAAGAACCAGGCCAAAACGAAAAAGGGTACCAGCAAGACTACAGCCAGGGCCACTCACCCATTCCATGCCACAGAACCCTCCAAGGGGGTCCAATGCACACACATGACCTTCACCTAAGGCACTACAATAAATAAACAAATAAAAAAAAAGTTAGGTTTATCTCATGGGGAGGATTATGCCTGTGGGAAGGGGGGGATTTTTTTGTCTTTTTCATAAGCCTGAAGAATAGAAAAGCCAGATTAGACTTTGCCAAAAAACATCTAAAAAACCCAGACCAGTTCTGGAAAAGCATTTCTTGGACGGATGAAACTAAGATTAATCTGTACCAGAATGACGGGAAGAAAAAAAGTGTGGAGCAGGCTTGGAACAGCTCATGATCCAAAGCACACATCATCTGTAAAACATGGTGGAGGCAGTTTGATGGCATGCATGGCTTCCAGTGGCACTGGGTCATTGGTGTTTATTGATGACAGAAGCAGTCAGATGAATTCTGTAGCGTTTAGATATATACTGTCAGCCCAGATTCAGCCAAATGCAGCAAAGTTGATTGCACAGCGCTTCACAGTACAGATGGACATTAATTCAAAACACACTGAAAAAAACCCAGGAGCTTTTGAAGGAAAAGAAGTGGAATATTCTGCAATGGCCGAGTCAATCACCTGATATCAACCCAATTGAGCATGCATTTCCCTTTCTGAAAGCAAAACTAAAGGCAGAAAGCCTTTACAAACAAAGAACAACTGAAGACAGCTGCAGTTAGAGCCTGAGAAAGCATCAGAAAGAAGGAAACCCAGTCTTTGGTAATTTCCATGGGTTCCAGACTTCAGGCAGTCATTGCCAGTAAAGGATTCTCAACAAAATATTAAAAATGAACATTCTATTTATGATTATATTCAATTGTCCAATTACTTTTGGTCCCTTGAAAAAGGGGGGGTGACTATTCTTAAGAGCTGTAATTCCTAAACCCTTCCTCCAATTTAGATGTGCATACCCTAAAATTAAACCCGAGAGTGTGCACTTTCAGTCCATATCCATTATATAACTATAGCCTGAATATGGTTTGGTAAATAGCTGACAAAAGCTAAAATTGTGCCTGTGTCCAAATATATATGGACCTAACTGTATGTGTGTGTTATTGTGCGTTAGTGTGTATGTGTGGTTACTCTGTCATACAGTATCTCACAGAAGTGAGTACACTCCTCACATTTTTGTAAATATTTTATTATATCTTTTCATGTGAAAACACTGAAGAAATTACACTTTGCTACAATGTAAAGTAGTGAGTGTACAGCTTGTATAACAGTGTAACTCTGATGTCCCTTCAAAATAACAACACACAGCCATTAATGTCTAAACTGCTGACAACAAAAGTGAGTACACCCCTAAGTGAAAATGTCCAAATTGGGCCCAATTAGCCATTTTCCCTCCCCGGTGTCATGTGATTCGTTAGTGTTACAAGGTCTCAGGTGTGAATGGGGAGTAGGTGTGTTAAATTTGGTGTTATCACTTTCACTTATACTGGTCACTGGAAGTTCAACATGGCAGCTCATGGCAAAGAACTCTCTGAGGATCTGAAAAAAAGAATTGCTGCTCTACGTAAA